GATGCAAAAGGAGCACCCAGCCAGCATTGAAAAAAGTAAGACAAGTTGTGGGCAAAAAGCACCCGGAGTTTCTGGGAGGACAGATTTGATAGGATGTGTGCCTCAGTTTTTCAAGACCTCTAAATAAATGTATCATTTATTTCCTTTTTTTTTTACATGTTGTATTGATTTTGTTCCTCTCCTACCCATATTCAAAATTGTGGATTATTGTCTCACTTTTAATTTTCAGGAATGCACCAGTGTGACAAAAGTTCTCAAGATGAAACTACTTCCTTATTATTTTTCCCAAACTATTCTCAATACAAAACCAAATCACAAAATTTAGCCCAATAAAAACATATGTACTTTAGATGATAGCCCGCTTTTATCTCTATCGTCCATTTTGGAGCAGACATTGCAATTTATTACTGCATTTATATCAACAGAAGGATTCCTGGTAGTAACTTTACACCCCCTACACAAGGGGCCATAGGACTGAAAACACATAATCAAAGCATTTGTATTCCCCTCTCCCTGGTTTCTGTGAGCCGCCCTGAGTCCCCTCAGGGAAAAGGGCGGCCTACAAATGCTAATAAACCTAAACCTAAACCTATGTATAATTCTGGTGCTCTTAATACGTCCACTGATTCAAGCATTAACCGCCGGAACATATAGTCATTTTAGCTGTTGATAGAATATAATTCAGATCTATGAGCAAAGTCATCTCGCAAACCTTAGAGACAGCAATGCAGAGTTGGTTGATGATTGATTTCTTCCATTATGCAAAATCAAGTTTGCTTAACTATGTTTACTGAATAAAGCCCACTTGACTGAGTGGCTACATCTTACTCAATCAGAAAGCATGGTTCCAAACTACAATGACTGCATTCATTTATGGAAGACAAAACCAAATGAATCACATTATCAGAGGTGGGTTGCAAATCCCAGCGTTACCGGTTCGCTCATGCTCACATGTGTGCTTGCGTCCAGGCAGGTGGGTGGAGCCTCCTGCCACTGCCACTACCGGTTCATCCAATCCAGGCCGAACTAGGAGCAACCCACTTCTGCACATTATGGTTATGCAGCAAGATATGTGAACTTAACCTGTATCCTGCATTGTCCTTTTCACTTTCTGGAAAAATGGAACTAGGTCCTGTGAGAAGATTCTTCCCCAGTGCCCCTCTCCAAATTGTCTCACTATCATTCACGATCACAACATTAAATTATGTTTCACGATCACAACATTAGATTGTTGAGGGTTTTTTTTTTCTAACAAGACTCAGGTAAGCCGCAAAAATTTAACAAGCTCCCACCAGTATATTTCTGGAGAAAACAAATAACTGACTACTTAAAAACAATAAATCCTTTGCTCCATATTAAATTTTAGACAGTCTCACCACCACCACAAAAGGCTCAAGGGTTTCAATGCCCATTCCACTTCAGACTGAGATCCATAACCAGTTTGGCTCATTACCTTTGCAGAAACACAGACAAGGATTTATCAAAGAAAGTAACTAAGCTTCTCATTTCCCTTTTGAAAGCGATAATATTTTTGTGCCAGTCCCATTTGCCATTTTTCACACAACGCTCAAGCCACTGTCATTGGCAGAACCATGGACCTTCTGCCACAGTCCTTTGGCACGCTAGCATTCCACAGCCAATTTCCATTTTCAAGAGCGTAAGGATAATTTCAGCCAGTACAGGGCATATTGGTGATTTGCAACTATTAAGCCTTAAAAGAATACTGTGCATTAGATCTATTAAAGCTTCAATGGAAGCAATCACTGGTCCTGTTTCGCCTGTTCTCAAATCTAAAATTATTCATAACAGAAATTATTTTCTGTTTAAATATTTGATCATAGATTCTCAGACTATTATATTATTTTTTTTCCTTATTACTGACGAGAAAAAAGCAGTGAGAAGTTCTAGGGACATATTACAGAGCTATATTTTCAGATGGATTAATGAACACCACTTTTAAAAAATTATTTCTTTTAGGTATAAACATGCAAGCAAAATACAATATGAGAGTTACTTCATGATGAGATGGACAGAAAATAAATTTAATAAAGAATAATAAATAAAGAATAAGCAAATAGGCAGTAATTGCAGACAGTAAAACTGCTGGAGAATTCTGGTAGCTGAAGTCCACATGTCTTAAAATTTCCAAGGCTGGGAAACCTGATCCAAAGTATGGGATCTTGCAGATTATCAAGAATCTAGTCCCCCTTACATGTCTAGCCTCTCTTATCTGTCTATCTCCTAATTGTCCACTTCCTAATTCACTTTGGGACAACATTGTGTTCTACATTTCTGCAAATAGAGCATCACCTTCTTAAGTCAGAGGAGATATGTAATTCAAAGATGAACAAGTTTCTTGTTCCCTCAACAATCCTAATACTTGTATTCATATCTAGCCTTTTCTCTAAAGAAGGGTACCTCCTTTTTATTTTATTTATTTATTTGTCCAAGAAAATTTTGAACAAAGAAAACAAGAAAATCAAAATGTGACAAGGATGACAGGCACACTGGCACATTCTCTCTCTCTCTCCCTCCCCCCTCCCTCCCCCCTCTCTCTCTCACACACACACACACACACACACACACACACACCACTTAGGGACCTCTTAAATATGGAGTGAGGTCCACAGAAGTTAAAATTAAAACTATGAAAGTTTTCCTGTTTTATACTTAACATTTAACTAGATAAAGATAACATTTAAGCTGATAGTAAAGCTTGGATAACATTGCACAGTAATTTCATGACTTGGTCATCATAAATTTCATCATTCCAATTTCATATGCTGGAAGAATTGAAATTGTGCAGAGATCAGCCTTCTCCACGTGGGCCAGCTGAGGATGATAGAAATTGTATTCTAACACATCAGTTGAGCTAATATCCAACTTTCAACTTTCTCTCTATCTTCCATCTCATGCAGGTACTGTTATTTCTCAGTTTTATTATGATTCATGTTTTCCCAAAAGGAACTGCACAGTGTTGTAGAGCTTCTATTTGGTTATTTATAGTTTACTTTGGTTGACTATGGAAAATTTGATATCTCTATAATTTGCAAGATCTCAGAAAGAACAGTGAAATTCTAAACTTATTCAATATAATTTTCTTCTTGGTAAATCACTCACTTTATATTTGTTCAACAATGATCAATGCTCAGCCATTGGCTAAATAGTCATAAATGTCACATATGGGTTGGTGAATTACTGTATTGTTTTGATTGAAAGTGTAATGTCACCTAACCAAACCATGTTGAATAAGTATGAGATTCTTACCTTCATGATTGTGAGGGCAGAAAATAGTTCTTACTTCACACCCCAGCTCAGTGTATTGTTAATGCTGATTTATTTTAAATTAACAGATGCATGTTGAACAATAGAAGGTTTTCCTTTTAAGTGATCAGGGTGAGCATTTGGTCCCTTCTGCTGTTGAGATATGCTTATTTTTATCTAAAGAACCTGAAATTAAAGCTTACATACTACTGTACAGTTGTCCTGTAAATAATCTGCATGGTTAAGATGAGATAATTTAGCTTTTATTTGTATGTATGTATGTATGTATGTATGTATGTATGTATGCATGTATATTCCATTTTCCTCTCCCAGAATCAAGAGATAATGGTTGAACTTATAGGCAAGACTCCTAATAAGTAAGTCGCTGTTTTCTTCATGGAAAACAAATTAAATGATTGAAAAATTCATCTGCAGTGCACAATGTTAATAATATTTTACTTTTAATCTTACTCAGAAGATTAGGAAACCATTCTTGTATTTTGAAAAAATACAAACCTTCTCTCTCAAATGATTTATTGTACAAATACAGTATATAAATAAAATAAAAATGAATGAATGTATACTGTATGATCAAAAATGCATATTACAACCAGAATATTTAAAACTTGAGAGATTACTAAAATAAAGTATCATGAACTGTTTTGATCTGAGTTTAGGTATATTAATTTAATACTTATTCTTCAAAACCTACCAGGGTTTTGCAAGAAATGTCTGGGCAGGTGGGTGGAGCCTCCTGCTGCCGCCACCACTGGGCAAACCGGGAGCAACCCACCTCTGGCTGGTGAATATAGCAGTTAATAGAGTAATTAAACAAAATGAAAATTATGCAAATTTATTGTACTCTTGGCTTGGTTAGCAATAGCAATAGCAGTTAGACTTATATACCGCTTCATAGGGCTTTCAGCCCTCTCTAAGCGGTTTACAGAGTCAGCATATTGCCCCCAACAACAATCTGGGTCCTCATTTTACCCACCTCGGAAGGATGGAAGGCTGAGTCAACCCTGAGCCAGTGAGATTTGAACAGCCGAACTGCAGAACTGCAGTCAGCTGAAGTAGCCTGCAGTGCTGCATTTAACCACTGCGCCACCTCGGCTCAGTTACTTGTGCTTGGATTGTTTGTTTGTTTGTTTGTGTATTAACTAAAGAGTAAGCATTGGAAAATGCCTTGTCATTCATCACTTAAGTTCTTCATCACTTTATTATCGTTCCAAATATCTATTTATACATTTTTCAATATTTCAAAATTGGGTTTTCACATAAACTGTTTGTGTTAAGTAATAGCAGATCATTGGCTGCTATTGATGCCCTGACCAGAATGTAGTCATAAAACATAATTCACAATTGCAAGGAAAAGAAGCAACCATATTTTAAAAAATCATTTAAAAGTTATACTATCTACATGCATATTCTGGAAAGATACAACATGCCCAATCTTATTCCTTTAGGGAGGAATCCTTGGGATATGCTCCTCCTCTCCACCAGCCAAGGAACTCATAGTTCCTAAGTACGTACATTCTGTACACATTTATATATGGACAACTTCATTATTGTGCCAGGTCATCTGTGACAGTATCAAGTAGCTTCTGGAGAAAAATATAGGACAGGATAGGAATAACATACTATTACTAAAACAGTTGGGGAAATGCTTCCTAGATACTATTTAAAGACTCTATTCCCTACAAAGATTTAGCTTGGATACAGAAAATGTAGAAGCGTCAATTCCCCCAAAATACTGTATATGCAAACTCCACTACCAACACCTGGGAAGCATGGCTGTCTCTATGAATCCTGGAAGAAACAGCTGTAAATAAATTTAATCAAAATTGTTGACAAGCAGACCTATAGTAGTGCTTTATTAATGGGCCTAATCATTTAATGCTTTAAAACTCTCTGTAGCAGTCCTTAATGCTCAGCAATAAAATGCTCATTGATGCAGAAGCATTGTTGGATGTTTGGAGATGAAGCTTGTGTGTTAGGCCACTACTGTTCTAATGGGAAAGTAGAAATGAAATCCATGCTATATGGTAGATGCCATAATTTCAAATGAAAATCATCAGGACCCTGGATTAAGTGTATTGTTTTTGGGGTACTGTTGATATGTTTCTTTTTGTTTTGTAACTTTTATTGGCACCTGTATTTACATGCATTGCTAAGCTAAACCTTTTCCGTTGATTTTTTTTTTCTCGGAGACTGAATTTTTCACTAAATTTTCTTAGTAATCATGGAACTATGAAGTTAAAACTGTAAACTGTTTTCAGAGGCTTCACATAACCAGAACATAAAATAGAGATCAGAAAGTAAGAAAAGTATTGCTTCATTACATGCCTCATGTGCACATTACAAGTCTCTGAAAAAGTCAGCAGCTAAGGTAAGATGTGTATCAAATCAGGCTTATTACATCAGTTAAAAATTTCACAGATCATAAATTACCATTCACTCTCTACAATACTTCACTTAGATGTTAATTCAGTACAGTAATAAAAATGTGCCCAAGCCACAATCTAGGCAAAAATACTAGCAGGAATAACACAATTTATTGGTAGTTGACAAATCAAGGAGTCCTTTTAAGTCTGCACAGTCAGTTATCTCCAAGGGACAAGCGGTTCTTTATGTGGGCAGAAGGCAAAAAGCAATATCACAGTAAATTCATGTCAGTTGGGTACTTACACGAATTCAAATAGCTCAAAAAGGGACACTCAACCCATAGATTATTGCAATATTATTGCATATTTCTGAATGGACTTGTTGAAGAACAGCAGAGAAGAAATCATAAGAATTTGAAACTCAATATCATCTTCAATTAGCTTCTTTAAAGTCTCACAGGAAACAAGTTTATGGAAGAATTCATGCCTCTGTCATAGCCTAATCTCACTTAATATTTTCCTAGATGTTTTGTTGCAATTAGAACTTCCTGTCTAAATGGTGAACAGCTACATTCTCAGGCAATTCTGGAACCTGGAATCTCACACATCTGGAGGAAAGAAGTTGGGGAAGTTGTTCTAATTGGGAAGTTAGTACAGTAGCTTAAAGTATTGATAAAATTTTGCTAGGATGAGTTCGTCACCAAGTTATTTCTCTTATTCGAAGTAGGATGAATCTGAGCTTCAGTAACCAAACAAAACTTCAGGTCCACCTACTACTGACATTAATGGAATTTACACATGGATAACTGAGGTTCTGAATGACAGTGTGCATCTGCTTTGGAATTCAAGCATCATTTTATATGAGAAACCCTATAAGAGAAAATGCCCAAAGGAGCAAAGAACTTACCACATTTCATCATCCCTACTTCGTAACATTTCCGGAGCCGGCAGGCCTGGCAACTTTTGCGTCGGTTTTTATCTATTGTACATTGGTTTGTCGCCGGACAAATATAATCATTGTGCCCTGGAGGGAGGGATAAAAGAAGGTACATTTAAAAAAAATTACTGTGATAAAGTCTTAGGTTTCATCCTTGCTTTTGAGAAAAGGTATTTTATTTCTTGAGTTAACTACTAACTGGTTAGATTGTCCTTGTAGAACCCTTAGAAAACAGCCATGTGAAAGGCTTCCAATCCCAAAAGAAGGCTGAGTCCTGCAGGCTAAGATGACTGCGTACTGAACAGAGGAAGAATGACCCAGAAGAGTCACCTGTGTCCTTGAGCTAACAAAGAGCATCTTAGCAACACAGAGCATGGAAAAATATATTCTCTGTATCCTCATTCAGTGTAGATTCATGTTTCGTTAGGGCTGTGTGTTCCTTAGGGCTGCCTCCTTGCATTACTTTGCTTAAGCAGAGCACTTAGGATTGAAGCTTACAAATTGAGAAGATCCAGAATGAACATGTCCTCCAACTAACAAGCAGCCAGGGAAAGAAGGATCTTCCTTAGATGCAGGGGTGCTTAAGGAAAAGAATAGAATAATAGAAGTCTTATACACCTTTGAGAACTGATTTCAAAGGCTAGCCGATAGAGAAATACAGCTGTCGGGAAATACATGCTGTTGTCAGGCATGTAAAGGGGCTAAAGAGCAAGACAATCCTGTACGCTTCAGTTCCTAAAATGAAAGCAGCAGATGCATTTTGAAAGACCTTTTAGTAGTAACAGGCAAGCATTGTGGCAAGCATGTCATAGAAAAGGACTGTGATCAGCAAAAGAGGCTTTTGTTTTATTTTTTGCAAACTACATGAGAGAATTAAAATATTTCCTTTCATTTTGGTAGGTTTCTTATCCTTGGACTAGAATTAACCTCTCTACAAAGATTCAGTAGAGACCAAGGAGAGTCTGGAAAGACAGTTATTTCCTTCTGTGGAGAAGCAGAGAAATGCCAATTTGTGGGAAAAGTTCATATATTCCCACCATTTCATAGTGAGAATTCCTCAAAGCAGATGGTTTTTCTTAAATTTATTTGACAAGCAGGCTCCTTTTTAAAGGGGAAGTTGATAATACAAATTCTAGCTGAATGATAGTGAAAGCAAATCATAGCTGTTCAAAAATGAAGGCAAATGAAGGCAAGTTTTCTTAGTGACATTTTATCTCAACCTTTGTCTGGAGGTTATACTGTATATGATGTTTGAGGTTCAATGCCTGGACTTAGACCATGATGTTCTGAGTGAAATGTTTGATAAAACATCAAGGTCAACAGGAGGCTATGGCCAAGTTTTGCTCACCTAGATTAGCTTAAGAATGATTGTGAATATGAGGAAAAGGAAAAATATCATGTAAAAATAAGTTTTACCATTCTACCTCTCCTATCTTCTTAAGGATTACAATAAAAATCTTCAGTTTATGTTAAGAATAAAGAGAGCTTCTTATATTAGATTTTTATTATAGACTTTGGCTACAAGAATAAGAACTTAACATGCATTAAAGACCTAGATGTGCATTACAAAAATGATTCTATATCTCTTCTTATACTGTAGATGTGTCTTCCATTACTGAATCTCAGTGTCCTAATAAAATATAGATCTATTTAACAATTAACCAGTGGAATGGCTTGTCTTCAGAAGTTGTGGCTGCTCCATCACTGGAGACTTTTCAGAAGAGACTGGACCGCCACTTGTCTGACATGGTATAGGATTGGTATAGACTAGAAGACCTCCAAGGTCCCTTCCAACTGTGTTTTTCTATTATAATTTTATTTCATCTGTTTTCCTCACCTTCAGGTTTATAAGCTCTAACAAGCACACATATAAAAGTCCAAAGTGATAGAGACAGATTTGATGGTTACTTGGAGGGAAACAAGGGTGGAAAGAGAAGAATACAACTGCAAATCACTCCTTCTCCCTGAAAACCACTCGCCCATTTCAAATCTGCTTCCAAAATGGCCTCTTGTGAGGAAATGCAATAGTTTTCTCACATTATTCAGAGATGTCATTCCAATTAAAAGGAAGCTTGGGCTCTATCAACTTTATCGTGTTTGTGCATTTAATGAAGGGGCTGGTTTATACATCGATGCTGATACCAAAAAGGACACAAAACCCCAACCCAATTTAGTATTTGTAGAAAAATCTGTTTTGTAAAACTGCTGAACCTTTTTTGGAAAACACAGTCTGCGTAGAACAGATGTGATCTCAGTGTTTGGCAGTGAAGGTTGATTATAATCAAAGTTCCCCTGGAAAAAAGATAAAAAATGTTGCTGTGCCAGGTCTCCAACATATGTCATGGCCTTCAAAAGGTTATCTTGTCCAGTTCTAAAGTGTAGTTTACCAAATCATATGCCAGGTAAACACTTTTGCTTTTTTCAATTACCTTAATTTGTTGCATCCAACGTCATACTGTTCCTACAGATCTGAGACTTAACATTCCTAACTGCAGTTACCCTGGAGTAAGTCCTATTGAAACAATGATATTTTCTTAATTGGAGACATAGATATTAGAATAAATATGGGGAAGGAATTTGTCCTGGGATTGAAAGTACATAAATATTTTTGAAGTGAGCAAAAAAATGAGAAAATGTACATAGAATCAAACTGTGAGATTTTTCATAATTGCCACTGAAAGTAGGTCTTTGATTTTTAATCAGTAGATTCCATCCACTAGCTGATATACTAAAAGGAAGAAATGAATCCAGTTTTAATGGTAAATCTAAAAATGAAGACTTCCTAGTACTTTTACATATTTTGAGTCTACTGTTTTAATATAATTGGGAATGAAAAGGAAATCTTAATTGGAATGTACAAGAAAATGCTCTTTGATCACTTTTTTGATGATGTTCCATTCCATGTTCATTTTTTAAATTTATTAAGCTTATAGGCCACCTATCTCACCAAAAACAACTCTAGGCAGCTTACAATCATTCAATAAAAATGCCATATAAAACATTAAATAATAAATAGAGATCTTAAATTTAAAATTTAAGTAGTTAGCCGTGCTTCAGTGATTAAAAAACAGAAACTCTATAAGATGTTATTAATAACAAGAAGAAATACAGTGATGGGTAATTAATGCTAAATTATTAGTAACTATACATAATAATTCAGTTTATCATGCACATTACTAAATCTCTTCTAAAGCCTCTCTTAAATGCTGCAACAATCATGCAGATGGTATAATATTTTAGTTGTTTGCTTGGCTGGTGTTAGGGAGTTTCAGCTTGTGTACTGTCCCTTAATTTCAGGTGCAAGATTTCCAACATATTGAGAAAGAAATACCCAAAATTGTAAAATAAAATCCAAACTAAATTTCACACTTTGTTTTGGAAGGGGAAAAAGGAGAGAAACTCCTCCTAAAATAGGGGGGGGGGGGAATTAAAAATCCAGTTCTGCAGTATGTGTAGTTATAGCATAGCCCTCTTCGAAATATTGTGCTAATGTAATTAAGACTGGGGTCTCAAGGAGGTCTGCAGGAGGATTGAGTCAAAAATTTCAAATGATATTTGTAACTACATAATTGAAGTGCTGCCTCTTTTTTGATTGCATCATGATCTGCATATGAAAGGGGAGGGGTCTTGATGCTGTCTGTCATCTTGACTCCATTGCCTCTCCTCTGCACACCTTCCTGGTTGCTCTGTGTAATTTATCTTCATATTCTTACAAAAATCATTGCATTCAAATGAATTGCTTTCCTGGGGATTTCCTGTTTTCCCTACCTTGGATGCTTCTTTTGAAGAAAGCTTTACAGCCTTCACATGACCAAACCCCATAATGATATCCAGATGCATAATCGCTACATACAGCACAGAAATGTGCATCTCTTTTTGAACCAGGGCTGTTTGTGGTGGGACTGGTACAGTCACTGCTGCTGTTTTTTCTTTTCAAGGTGTCTCTGGTGGCAGAAAAGGAGAAAATCTGTCATCAAATCATACAAAAGAATGTGTATTTTGCCTCAACAATGTTCTTTTTTATTTAAATCATCCACATGAAGTTTTGCAGAGTGTGAATTGCAGGAAAAGAAAGCTTGAAATTACAGAAACTTGCATGGATTAGAGTAATAAAAAATATAATACTTATTCTTCAGTACACACCACAATTTTGCAAGCTATTAGAGTATGTAATATATTAAACGGGAGTATTTGACACGCATTAGGTATGTGAAGTCAGATGTTGTGCTAGATTACAACTATCACATTCTCTTCCCAATCACACTAAGCAGTTTATCTTGGTCTGATGAATATAATAATTAGCACGGTGATTAAGCAGAATGAAGATTGCGCAATGAGAAGTTTATCATTCACATGCAAAGTTACTTGTGCCATATTGTTTGGCCAAGTGAAGCAATTTCTTAGACAGGAAAAATCAATACCACAAAGAGTATTAATTGCAAAGCATTTGTATTAGTTGTTTTATTCATTCATTCATTCACTTTTATTATTTGATTTCTTATTCTATTTTTATTGCCAGGGACAGGAACAGGTGCTTCTGTGATAAAAAAATTATGTCTGGTCTTGAACAGTATACATTTTATATTGGGATGAAGGCAGGTGATTCCATTTGTTGTCCTTGCTAGAGATCTCTGGTTGTTGCCTGGACACATTCCTCCAAAAAATGTGCAAGAAGTAAGCTTTGATCCACCAAATCAGAAATTTGATAAATACAAGAACTTTTTAAAAGACTAATACACACATTTTGTTCCTTTTTGAGGCCTTAAATATTGCTTTAGCTGCACAGTCATCAATGGGGAAAAAGAAAATGTGTGTTTGTGTGTGTGCGTGCGCGCGCGTGCGCGCGCACGTACACACACACACACACACACACAGAAAAGAGGATTTCACTTGTAATCAAACTCTTCAAATGTTTCAGTCACACGGTGAATCTTCCCTCTCAGTGTTTCTCAAATTTGGCAGCTTTAAAACATGTGAATTTCACCTTCCCCATGCTGGCTGAGAAATTCTGGGAATTGAAGTCCACACATCTTAAAATTGCTAAGTTTTTTAAACATGGCTCTAGCTAGCCAGACTTTAATTCATTCACACACATATCCCAGAATTTCCATGCTTACATTTATACTTCATAGTACATATGTATTACAGTCTTTACTTCAGAGACAAATCAGGTGTTCTCTATTCTTTCTTGAGTAAAAGGAGATTTGATAGCCTTCTACCTTTCTTGTCAGTGATGAGTGACAATGTGCAAATCCAAAAGGATTTGAAGAGCAGATGAGCAGAAGAGAAGCCACTACATTCAGAAGGCCACATATAAGCATCCAGATAAATGTAGGTTTCTGAATTGTAGCAAATGTCTCTGGGTTTCAGAAAGGAGAAGCTTAAGAGAGCATGTATCCTTTAAAAAAATTATCTTCCAACTGAAGCAGAGTTTTATATTTCACATTTGAAAACAAAATCCTTCGTTAGGGAAAAAAAATTAAAAAAATAAAATAAAATGCCCTATGCTCACTTAATCAAGTAAAGGGAGGGGCCAGCTCCATGTAGTTCATATTCTTCCCATCTTTGAACTTTTAATTTAAGTTACAATTCATGAATTTTCAATACCACAATCATTGTTTCCATGGCAATAAATTGATGTCATGAACACAGCATTAAGACGGCACCACAAAAATGAAACAGAAGGGGAAGTGCAACTGTGAAAGAGAATGTGTTCAAAGGCAGAGCATTTTGAAGATGAGAAATCACTCATTACACTTACCCTTCAAAAGGAATGGAGGATTTCATTGCACAATAAAATATATTCTCTGGCTTGTCAAGGAACTAAAAGAGCGTCCCGTGCAGCCTTCTCTAACTTGTTCCTTACAGATGTGTTAATTACTATCTCCCATGATATCTGGGGATGACAGCAATAAGACATCTGGAGGACAGCTTGTTGCAGCTGACTGAGACAGACCTGAAACTGTCTGAAGTCCAAACTAGTCCCATCAACAGCACAAAATTTCTACTCTTACTTCATTTTTATCCTATCCCTTTTCAATAAAGAATCCCCAAATCTGTATGCAGATTCTCAATCATCCAGGTCATGGTTGTCCCAAGATGCTTTTCAAAAAGCAAGAAAGCCTAATTGCTCCCTGAAAAACACCTTTGGGAGTCCCAAAAGCAATACATGGTGTTCTTATCCGTTATTTTATAGCTGGCCTCAGTCTTGCATGATAGTGAGAGAGAGTATTTAGTCCAAAGTTCTTGGACTAAATACTTTTTCTTTTCAGGAATGGTCAAAACCATTTTGCTAGCTGAGGCAAAGGGTAAACTGATGTCCTTCACCCATCTCATGCTGCTAAGGTGACTGGACTACCAGTCTTATTTTAATCCACATGATGTGCTGGTTTCCTCTCCATATCCAAAGTCAGGCCAGCTAAGAAGGACAGAACATGTTCAGAGTACATACAATATTATCTTCTAATAAAGCAGGTTGACACAAAGAAAGTTCAGAAGGAAGAAGTTTGTCTTCCTCCAGGCAGGGGTGGAGGTGTTTCAATATGCCTAATAATAGACCAGCTTGGCTCCTCATCCTATTCTCATTCAAGTATTTCACCGTTTCCTAATTGTTACACAAGGACTCTTCCCATAGTCATTTTATTACTAAACTGTATGTAGACTGTATGTTACTTGAAGAAGAAATTCTATATTATCCAGAAAACTTATCATCCTTTGTCCAGTGACTTTAGTTTCTTTCATAGCCACTAACCTACTAAATTTCTATACTTGGCAAGATTTCTACCCCAGAGTTCTCTAAAACCATTTTGATTTCTATGAAAACAAACTTATTTCCAAGCACAGAGTTATACAATAAAGCTGAATGATGGGAAATTCACAATAGATAGGAATTCTTAACATGCCTCTGATTATAGGGGTGGTTTGAAATCAAATTCTGAGTGCTTCCAGAGTTGTTGTGAAATTCCCCTTTAAGCTTAAAACACCTGTTTCAATCTGAAGTAAAGCTATTACAAAGTTGAAACATGTCCAGAATGGCTAGAACACAAAGCTTGGGCATTTAAAACTTCTAACTTCAAAATGCAAAATTAATACAAAATGCTTGGTGCATCTCTAGTAAATTACATGGAGATTTTTATCATGGGATTAGACAAATTAATGAAGGATAGAAAACCATCAGTGACTACTAGCCCTGATAGTTATATATTTTCTCCAGCATCAGCCCTATGCATGCCAATTTCTGAGGAAAGGTACAGTGTTCACGTCTTATTGGTATACTTTCCCTAGTCTCCAAGTTGACCACTGTAGGATCAAAATGCAGGATTTATTTGAGGTTCCTCTACTCCAATTATACTGAGAGTCTGTCATATGCTAATTCCACCCAATACATATGGGAGAAAACAAATGGTCCAGAAAAATAATTCTTCAAGTACAGGATAAGAAAGTAAATTATTTAATAAATATAGCTCCTTTTTTCCTAAAAGAAAAAAAAAAGAGCCTTGAAATGAGAAATAATCAAATTGAACTCTATTGCTAGCATACATCACAAATACTATGTAGATACAATTTTGCATTATCAAAAACTCAGTAGTATTTTTAAAAATAGTCCTCTTCTGAATATATTTATTGCCCTTTCCCAAGATTTCTGTTCTCTTACATCATCCCCTAAATGTCAAGCCAAATGTCTGAAAGTTCAAGTTTCATCTCAGCTCTGACTTCCAATATTTAAACCTGTGACTGAACTGAGTTCCTATAGTCTCATTTAAATAAGATTTACTTAAGAACATGGATAAATATTAAGAAGTTCTATTTTTTTAATTATTTCAAAGCAGAGAGGCAAAATAGATATCCATGAGGTATCTCTGATTGGCTTTCCCAACTTTGAAGGCAAATTGAAGGTAGAGGAAAGAATAATTTGATCAGGAAATAATTCATAAATCCGTGGGCCTTTCAAGCTGCTATCAAACAGATACCAAGGAAGGGAAAAGGCTTATCATCTTTTAGAAATAACTCTGTTTCTTCACCCCATGATCTATATTTAACTACAATTATTCAGATCTTTTGCCTAGGCATTTTGGACCCGGTTTCTACACTGGACTGAATATTTAGCACTAGACAAATAACGTTTTTTTAAAAATTACCTGTGAATAGGCAAGACATGATCCACAGGTCGGGCTTCACACCAAGGGCTTTTTGGTTGCTCCGCGTATAAAACCGATGATTGGCAGTGCACTGTCAGAGGAGAGATGTGGCCAGAATTGGACCACATCATGCTCGGACTCGCCGTCTGCCTTAAAGTGGCATTTTCTGAATCGCTGAAATTGGCCGGAATGTTATAATTCATCATCGAAGGGCTGTAGAAAGCCATGGCTGAGTAGTCGGGTCTGTTCTCCATGTAACAGGATGGAATGTAGATCGGGCTGTGTTCCACAGTCAGAGCAGCCTGGCTGCAGCTGAAAGGGATGGGGGAGCTCTGTTCAGAGATGGCGCTTTTGGCTTCTTTTTTACTACATCCGAGATCTTGAATTGGTGGCAAATGAGAACATTCCTTGTGAGACGATGCACAGAGGGACATGCTGGAGTGAGATGGATGCCAAATGTCGCTTTCTTAATCAGTCATCCCCCAACATTTAATCTGGAAAACAGCAATGCTAAAGATACATAAAATACATTTTTAAAAAGAAACACCCCCCCTTCCTCACTCTCACTTCCTGACCATGCACATCTGGGGCAACGATATGAACAGCAAGCAGTTTATCACAGTGGTCTCCAACCTTGGCAACTTTAAGACCTGTGGACTTCAAATCCTAGAGTTCCTCAGCCAAAAATGGGAGTTGAAGTCCACAAGTCTTAAAGTTGCCAAGGTTGGAGACTAACGATGAGGAACTCTGGGAGTTGAAGTCCACAAGTCTTAAAGTTGCCAAGGTTGGAGACCACTGGTTTATCAGACCAATGAGTACAGAAACAGTCCTACTCAAACATAAACATGGTGATCCTATGAGAACCAAGAGTTCTGCTGCGTGTGGATGGGAAAGGTGAAATCTTGAAATCTCCCATTCATCTAAAGCAGAGG